GTTGTGATCAGGTCAGAGAAAAAGCAAAATGGCAGCATGGCAGGTTCTTCCCACCCTGTTCTCAGCTGCTGCTGCCCGTTCAGCCTGGAGATTGTATCGTGCTCTAGCAGCATTTCTCATAAGGCTGGACCTTGGGGAAATGCCCTGAATGTGACCCACTAAGAAGGTGAAGCGTTGCCAGGCTGAACCAAGTTGGGATGGATGAGCCCCTTTAGGTTACAGGCCACAGGACAGCAGCTCTCAATACACTGCAGGCAGCTGCTCCTCATGAATAATTTGTCAGGTAGGTGTTTGAAAATGCTTGTCTCTAGGTCAGAAGCCAGTGTTTGGCTGATGTTTGCAGTGGCCCTTAAACTCATCAAGCTCCTCTGGCATATTCACAGCAGATTAGCAGGGCAGTTGTTCAAAATAGACTGTTTATTAATGGTGCTCTTCAGAAGTAGCCACAAGGCTCAATCATAGCCTACTTTCAGTATTTAAAATACATGTGAAATAAAAAATATCTATAAGATCAGCAGGGCTTGCTGGTTCCACTTAGTTTACTCTCCTTGCAGCTTCCTGCACAGAGACAAATCCTCATGCAGCATAACCTTTCTGTAGCTCAAATGAAGTTATTAAAGACTTGTGTTATTTATAGCTGTTGAATGTTTTCCCCCAAGGTCATTTGACAGCATTGCTGAGCTGCAGCATCTGCTGTGGGCAGCCAGGGGCTGTGTGGAGGCGGCTGAGTGACAGCCTGGAAGCAGAGGGTGTCTTCAGCTTTGGGCAGCTGATAGGGCTGGAGCCCACAAGTGCCTGCATTTCTTCACGTGGGTGTTAGAAATGAAAAAGGCATTCAAATTGCCTTGTATGCCTTGGCTTACAATGCTTCTGACATACAGATGTGCTCAGTTGTCTGCAATTCACTTCCAAGGAGAATACAGTTGTAACAAAATCATTTTATAAAAGAGCCCTGGGGGAACACAAGTGATAAAGCAGCTTTTATAACATACTAAAACTTCTATAAAACTAATTATATACGTTATCAAAATGATTCATGCTAGCCAGAGTAAATCCTACTCATTACAAATGAGAGTTGAAGTGACAGTTCATTGTCTTTTAATATTTGCACAAATATATTGCCTTTTATCCCTGTGCTGTCACAGGAAGGTTAAGGAAGGAATTCCCCAAGAACTGGAGGTGCCACTGCAAGAAAGAGGCAGTGCCACTGCAAGAAAGAGGCAGTGCCACTGGGGCCCGTGGCACCTTAGCTGATGGTGACAAGGTAAATTCTGATCACACCTGATTCCTCACCATCCTGGCAAATTTTCTTCTTATCTCCTGTAAGTTTATATTGTTGTCTTGCCCTGAAGCCTGCCCAACAAACGTGTCCCTCATGCATGGAGAAGTGCCCTGTGTCTGATGGTATTGCTCTCGTTGAAACTCTTTAACATTGAAGGTCTTTTGCAAAACGGTGCTGAATTGCTGGCTGTGTTTTCCCTAAGAAGGGATTTAGATAACTTGTTCTACTTAATCAAATTAGCTATCTTTGATTTAATCTGGTGTTTAAGCCAAATTCCCAAGACAAAGAGGTTTTTATAGTCTGTTCAGTTTGTAATGTCTGTTTTCCAAGAAAATCAGCTTTTATTTTTTTGTTTGTTTGTTTCTGACAGTCTCAAATGTACATTAAGACTGATGTAGGCTGGCTGAGTACAGGGAAGTAGCTAATTTGACATTCAGTTTCTTCCTTTGTGAGCTATCCCATTCCCCATGCCTTTCCCTCGGTTTGTCAGAAGTGTCTGTCAGCTGGTCTGGCATCTCTGCCTCCCTGGCTACAGCCTGTATTTTTTTTCTTCTTCCCTGATTCATGTTTATTTCTCATCCCATCTTTCAACTCCAGCTTTTTCTCCTTATCTGAAAAAAAAAATTGCAAATTAAAGTGTGTCAGTAAAAGCAACAACCCCCCATTTTTAGAACTCTCTCTGTCTGTCGGGAGCCTTTGTGCCAACTGAGACCACTGCAGATTCCAGTCACCACACCCTACGGAAAAGGTCACTTCAGAAGTGCAGGACTTGCTGGAGCAAACAGGAGCCTTGAGCTTTGCTCTTCCTTTTCCATTATTCACTTGGGCTTTTTGGCTGGAGCAGAGAGGCTGTGCACCTCTTATCAACATCTGGACTGGGGAAGGTGACCCTCAGCTCACACTGTGCTCAGCTGGAAGTTTACAGTATTTAAATTACAGTTCCAGGTCTGAGTTCCACACTCAGACCAGTGAGGTGGGATCAGCTAGGAAATTAATTAAATTTGTAAATGTAATTAAAGGCCATTACAGCAGGCTGGTCCCAGGGGAGCCATAATGGTCCTGGTGAAGCTGCTGCAGGCGGCACTCAAGCCACAGCTCAGCTGCCTGGCTGAACCCTGGGGTTGGGAAGCGCCTTCTTATGGGTTGGTTTGAGCTGAAATGTGTACGGCACAGCTGTGCTCATTCAAAAAGAAATTCACAAAGTTCTAAAGAGGGAATTATACCTTGCTGTGAGGCCTGCCAAGAAAATGTTGAGATTTTTTGACTGGAAACATGTAAATCACCTGAATACCTTACTTAGACTTAAAAACTGCTTTCAGAAGCGTTCATAGAGAGAGAGCCCACTGTCACTGTCTTCACACAATCCCAGATGGCATGGGATTTACTCTTTTCTACGATCTGTTTTGTACAGCCTGCTTTCCATCTAGATTTTCTTCCCCTTTGGCAGTGCTGATGAATATGTGTCACTTTCCCATGGCTTCTACTCCTCAGTGCTGCACTCAGTCGGCTGCCAGCTATGCCAGCTCTCTGTTGTTTGGAATCCCCCTCCTTGTCCAGTTCAGCCTGAGACTTCACTTTTGCTTAATTAAAGCAAAAAAGGAGCAAAAAATCCCCATCCAGAAGAACACTGGAAGAACTTACACATGGTAGTGGCAGCATCTTCAGACAGTCCTAAGTCTGGGCTTCCACACACCACAAACTGATGGATTAATTGCAGACAGAAGTACCTTTTTCAGCTGCTGGAGGTCCATGAGTAATGCTAAGAAAAAGGCTCACTCATTGATGCCACTTTGCAGTTTCCCACTCCGTCACCTAATAAAGAACTGGAGACAAGTAGGCCAAGTGCAAGCACTCCTTTGTGGCCACATGTCACAGCATGGCAGGACATGGCAGTGGTACATATGTACATGTTTCCTGTGTAAAAACCATTCACCCACTGGAGGACTTTTGAGCAAACAACAACAAAACACTTTGCAAAAGCAAAGGGAGGGCAGATGCCAGGATAACACAGGCTTGCTCCTGCTGCAGGGACAGACAGAGGAGCTGCTGTGAGCCATGGCCATGGCATTGCTTCTGCCTTCACAGAGGGAAGGTGAGGAGCTGCAGAGGGACTGGATCAGCCAGAGCTGAAGGGGCTCCTGAAAGCCCCCATTTTAGGGCCCTGTAGTTTTCTTTCCTGTAGAAGTATAAAGATTGTAACAACATAATATAAAAAATATAATTTTGTCATTTACACTGTACTTGTTCACCATCAGTAGCTGGGGAGGTTGAAGAGATGAGCACCCCACGAGTGGGGTGCTGCCAGTGAGCCTGCAGGCAGTGGGTGTTTCCCTGCCCAGGCATCCTCTCCCAGTGCCCATGAGGACTCTTGCCTTTTTGACCAAAATTAGATTGGATTATTTCTTCCACTTCTTCCATCTGGCTGTTCTTAAGTTTTTGAAGTGTTTTAAAACATTAGTGTTAAAATAATTTCTGTTTAACTGAGTATAACCAATAACTTGGATGTGATTTGGGCTGATTGATAATTAGTAGTTCTAGTAGTAGTTCTAAGCAGGAGACTAATTTAACTGTGTCATCCTTTCTGCTGTAACTCCTTTGCTCTTTGGTGCTGTTTTCCACCAGCCTAAAAGCGCAGGAGGGAATGCCCTACTGTGTCTCAGCTAACAGGTCAGCCCAACCTGCTTTGACTCACCCATTTAGGAAATTGAGTTGAATACCAGGTGTGCAAAGTAGATCTGATATGAAGGATTATTTGTTTTGCTGTAGTATTTCATGGTAAGATTATCTCAGGGAAGCGAAAGTGAATGTTCCAGGCCAAAAAAGAGGACAGCTTTGTGTTCCCAGTCAATTTAAACCATCACACTTCCCAGCTGACCTGTCCAATCTTTTCTACAGATAATTTTTTTGCAGCACCTGAGGGTAATTCCTGTTAATCAGCAATTTTAAAATATTGTCGTGGATAGCTCTAACTCTCTGCTGTGACCAGCTCTTGTCCCTAATTTTCATGGAGGGTTCTTGCAGAAAAATCCCGATCAGGGCGTGCACTTAAAAATCACCATTTTAAGCACTTTTCCATTTTCTTCCATTTCAGAAGCAGCTGTTCACAGATAGGAATCCAACCAAATAAATCCTTGGGTAGACTGGCTTTGAATTTGAGCTCTCTGCCTTTGTAAAAGCAAGTTTTGCCTTGTGCATGTGTTACATCTTCCTAATTAATGAATTTAAACCCCCAATTCTATTTTCCAGTGGCAAGGGAAGATCAGACCAGGCAGTTGAGGAGAATGGGAAATGCAGGTCTGGAGGAAAGCAAGTACCTGACAATTGCAGCAGTGATAAATAAGGCAGACAGCCATAAAACAGGAGAGGGGATAAGAGAGAGAGAGACATTCCTTTCCTGAGTGGAAAGAGTCTTCAGTGTGTTACTATTTCTGACACGGGGCAGGGGATGGGGAAGGCAAATCCTCCTGTGTCAAGAAAAAGGGGTAAATGCAGCATGTCTTCTTCACCAAATGGATATCTTATGAAGACTTTGAAGATAAAATGTCTGGTATGCTTGAGGGGCAGGGTAATTCTAGAGAATACAGGAGTTTTCTTTCCTACTTGTTTTCCCATGCAACCCAGGGTTATTTAGCTAAACTTTTAATACACAAGTGGGAAGTTGTGTATTAAATCATTTGCCGAATGATTCTCCAGTACAACTTTAATGCATTTTTTTTCCTCCTTTTTTTTCCCCCCCCCCCCCCCCCGCCCCTTTTTGTTTTCTTTCATTTGAACTACCCATAGGCAGTGGTTCCAATAGCAGACTTTTAAAGAATGGGTTGTTGGTGTGGGTTGGGGTTGATCTGGTCAAAGATGTGGTTGTTTTGCTTTTTCTTCCTGGCCTGGTTACCAGCCCAGAGGACAGAGCAGCAGTAGCAGCATGAAGCAGTAGCTGATTCCAGGGCCATTAAGATTCTGGTGGCATTAGGATATCTGCCTTGTTTTTTGTTTTTTTTTTTTCCATGAGAAAATGTAATGCAAGTTAAGCAAAATCTGAATACAGTCTTTTTTTTGTTTTGTCCAAAACCTGAGGCAATTAGAAAAAGAACAGAGATTGTCAGGCATTTAAACCCTCCAGCTCTCACAGCATGGAGTGTGACAAGGCTGAACTGAAAGCAAATTTCTCTTCCCTGAGATCAGGTAAGAACCACAGGGGTATCCTCAGAGGAGCTGCAGCAGCTGTAGACCTTGGTCTGGATGAAAAGCAAACATCAGAAAGCAGATCCAAGGAAGCCTTGAATCCAAAACTTTTAGTTGTTTTTGTTTCACCCCCTCAGCTAACAGATGATAATTGCTTTTTACTTACCTCTCTCAGCTGTTGCAGTTACTATACTGATTCATGTGCAGAAGGTGCAATATTGCATCTTTGGGGATTTTTGGGCTTCCAAGCACTTTAAAGCTTATGTCTGCCCCTCTAGACTTGCAGAGGGAAATCAGCTGCAAGAGTGTGTGCTGGAAATGCCAGCACTGCTCCCTGTCCTCTCCTGCCTCCTGCAGCTGTTGCTGCTGCCCCCACTGCCCAGAGCCCCCTCGCTGCAGAAAGGCAACTAAAAGGTTTCTTCTCTAGGAAAAGAAAGCATCTGGGCCATAAATGCCACAAGCCCTCCTCAGTGACACTTTGTGTAGTAGGAAACATCATCTGTCACTCAGATATTTTTCAGGACTTGCTTCTACAGCACTTGCCAACACCTTGAGTAAACTCCAACGTTGTCTATTTGTTGTTGAAAGCTGCAGGAGATGTAATTTATGGCATTCTTGAGCTCTTCCCTGCAGATTCCACAGCTTCTCTCATTGTATTAATGAGAAGGCTGAACCCACAGAGCTTGCTTCTATTAACCCATCAATACAATAGGCATTTTATCACCTAAAGGATTTAGAGTGTCTTCTGCCTGAGTCCGTCTGTTTTGCCAGTTTAAAAACAGTGTATGAAGATAACTTTGAGGTTGTTCTTGGCCATAAAAAAATAATTGGTCCTCCTTGAGTAAGCAACAGATCCTCCAAGGTTTAAAGTATATTTAAAGGTATATTTAAATAGAGGATTTCATTAGACTGAGGGTTTAACATGGAGAGTAGGTGCACAAACCTTCCCAGAGAAAACTTCCTTATGTAAATTTTCACAGCATTTTGTCAAAGTGTATAAATTTTTTCGATCAAGAATTTTTTTCTCTTTGTAGTCCCAAAATATAAAAAAAGTGTGATGAATTTTGACAAAATGCAAGTGTTATTTGCTAGAATATTATGAATCTGTTTTGGTATGACACTCAGAAAGATATTCTCATTCTTACACTGATGCTGTGTCCCCTTAGCTTTAGTTGTTGAACATCCTTAGGGAAAAGGTTTAATAAAGCTGAAACTCTGATAAAGGAACACAACTACTGTTGTATCTAACAACATAAATCAACACCAGGTTGGTCAAAAACTTTCTTTTTTCTCTTGCAACAGACAGACAACAAATGGCTAAACAAATGGCCAAGCTGATACTTGCTGCTGAATTTCTTCAGGTTAAACTCAGCTTTGCTGGAATCAAGATCAATATGCAAGAAAGCACATTTGCAAGGTATGGACAAAACTGGCATGGTAAATGCTGTTACTCTGCTGATTCCAGATCTGCCTCATTGTGCTTTGGGCTGCTGCAGAATTTAGGTGTGTTTAAGTGAATGTGAAATTAGAGAAGTAAGGTGGCTGTAGACTAGTGCTTTACTTTGGCTTTTACAATATGTTTTGCAATGGAATGGCTGATTTAGATTTTTTTTTTTTCTTTTTTGGTGCACTAAAAGCTAGATATTATTTTATCATTCCTATTTTAATAACAAATAACCTCTACTGCTGCCATTTTGTTAAATATTGTTCTGTGGAACACCTATTGTGTGCAACTTTCTCCCCTGCCTAAGGCTTCCATATTGGCCTGTGAAATGTCTATGGTGCTTGGAGGCCTGGACTGAAAGGCATTTTAAAAAGCTGAAACAGAATCTTTAGGGGTTTTTTTTATGTTCTCAGTTCATTTTGTAATCTATGTCACATGCAGAATAAGTGCTTAGGTGGTGTGTGTACAGGCCTCTTCTGAATTGGTCCACAGTGTTCTGTAATTTCTTCAAGTTTAAGGATTTAGGAATAAAATTACTAACTGACCTGGACAATGCTCTGCCTCAGGTCATGTGCAAGGTGACAAGTTCATTATTTTGCACACATTCTGTATTTATATATGTTTATTGTCATGTTCCAATGAACTGTGTGATACAAATCTGAGGCAAATCAAAATGATCTCTGGAATTCCAATGGTTTAATATTTTTTTCTAAGCTGTAAATCAGTTCTCTCCCTTAAACTGTTGGTTACAACGAGATTTTGATGTATTAGCTGCTATACTTCAGGGAATTTTTGCATGCTAAATAGCATGTGAATTATCCATCCATAAACTGAGTCTGAAACCTGGGCAAAAGAAATGGAAAACTCCACAAAGACTGAGGCTCAGGGGAAGCACTTTCTAAAAGCTGCTTTCTCTTTTTGTCTACTTTTCCACCAGTGCTTTAGAAAAATGTCATTTATAACCTTTTGAACAAGCCAAATCTCTTTTTGTCACATCAACCAAAAAAAAAAAAAAATCCAACTCCGGTAAGGATTTAGAAAATCAAATTATGGGAAAAGCCCCTCAGTCCTACTTGGCTGACCCTGCTGTTGAAGCTGTGGTGCTGTGTAGAAGCCTCAGTGTGCCCCCAGTCTGCCACCTTCTCCTTCAGTTGGCTATTAGAAAACATTTCCTCTAATCCCATCATTCAGTGCTGTTGTGGAAACCAGCAGGCTCCCCAGCAAATCCACCCATGATTATTTTTGTCCTATTGAAAGCGCCGCCTTATCGGACATAATCAAAATGGCTCATGTGCTGCTATGTGAAGAGCAAGTGGGTTTTACCATCACTCAGGCCAAAACTAAATATGGATTAAATTGCACCCTGCCAGCACAAAGTGTGTATTGTGTGGCTCTGTTCTGCAGTGCCCAGCCTCAGCTTGCTCCATTGCCTGATAAAACACTGCACCCTCCTTCAATCCCCCCTTTTTGTAAGGGCAAAACAAAGCAGCAGTGTCTGCGCTGGAATGTGCTGCAGGTAGTGATCTAAACCTCCATCACCAGAGACAGTGAGAGGATTAATTTAATGCATGGAGGTTGTTGCTTGGAGGGACTTCATAGGAATGCAAACCAAAGGCCCTTAAAGAGCCCACAACAAAGGGAAAAGCCATGTGATCTCAAACTCCTGGTAGGATGAGAAGGACTGGATTAAGGGCTCGTCTACCTTGTAGAAAAGGCAGGAAATACTGTTGTACTGAATAGGAATGCGAGCAGGGAAAAGATTTTGGGGTGGGTGGATTTTTTTGTAGACCTTCTGGAAAGCTTGGATGGAAAATTGCAGCCTTGTTAATGACATTTATATGTTAATGACATTTATATACTAATTGATATGAGCAAGCATTATGCAAATTTTGTGGTCATGTATGTCATGTGTTCTCAGTTGTACTTAGTTTCCAGATAGAGTAAATATCTGGTTTTCAATTCCTGTTTATTGATTATATTTTAAAAATTTTTTGTTGGGGGCACTCCATTGCAATCCTGGCAGCGCTGAGAGTCATGAAGATCCTTGTCTTGGCACAAAGTGACCTCCCAGACATGCCATGTGCTGCTGTGCAGACTTGCAGACCTCCAAGCACACTCAGGTGGGCTGGGCATGTGGCAGTCAGAGCAGAAAACAAGTAGAAGACTGCTCAGAAATGCAGCACATGGACACAGAGGTAATAAAGAGTCCTTGCTATTCTGGGCAGGAGATCCCCAGTTAAACTCTGGATTATGTACTTCAAAGAATGTAGAAATAACAGCATTACATCAAGAAGAACCAATGTGAAATTTGCTCAACTAAACCAGAGACAGGGACAGAGCAGCTTTTGAGTCTCCCCCAAATTTCCCCCCAAAAATCACACACTCCAGCACAAGCACCCTGGTTTTATGTTATCTGCAATCCCTATCTGGATTCAGTTTCCAATTACTGTTTATGGCTTTATCATAAGAACCAATTTTATGCAATTATCAAATCACTCTTTCTTCTCAGTCTTCTGCCATTCCTTTTTTTATCATTTAAATTGGGGTTTCAATCCAATCTTGCTTCAAAAATACAGCTAGTCTCATTATTTGCTTATCTGTCTTGTCTGAAACAACCTAGTGGTGTGGAGCACCGGGTTCTCTTCTCTAAGACATTGTAAAGACAGCAATCTGACTTTTTTCCTCCACCTCTTTTTCCCCCCTCCTTTTTTGGGAAGCAGAATTTTTAAGCAGTTTTGAAGCACTATGTATTTAAGGATTGATGTTAATTTACTGCTTCTTCAGGGTCCTCCTGCTTGAAGAATGATGTTACTGCTAAACTGCAAACATCTCAAGACAAAGACACACCAAATTCTACCATAACCTTAATATAATTACCCCATTATGGAATTCTAAAAGAATTAGAAGAATTCATCACTAAATTTGTACAGAAAGCTATTATTAATTCGAGGTCAACAAACCAAGACTGGTTCACGTAACATTTTATTCACAAGTAGAAAAAGTATTACAAAACAATTTATACAAGGTTTTAATTTACATGTTAAAGGAGTATTTAAAACAGCACTGTTAAGTCCCTAGACATGACATGTGAGCAGTCTAAATGCAGTGATAGTGGATGTTTTCTATTGGCATGTACAACATTGCTTGCCACAGGCAATATACAAAAGACCAATTTGGTTAAATTAAGGAAAAAAGTATATACAAAATATACACATACATCTAAAAAACTCTCTCTTAATTTTTTCCTCCCAATTTGCTATCAAGCTTTCACTCATTAAAAAAAAATCTTTCTCTAGGGTTGACGAATAAAAACAATTATACAAAGTTTAAATTCCAATGAGAAAACACACTGTGGCAGATGCTGGCAAAATTTTTCAACATTGCTTTTTCAAGAACTGTTATTAGTGAAAAGTTAAATCTCTATATGTTCTGGAAATATTTTGCCATATACTGAAATGCACATTGGATTTTTTTTCTATTTACAAAGTATATACAGAGAGGCACACATCTCTTCATGCACATGTAGTGAAAAATAATGTTTGTAAATTCTTAAAATGTATGAAAGTATACAAAGAAATTATTCAAAACTACTCATATTTAAATATATATGTGAAAGTATTTATCTGAGTAATTGTACTGTATAACTGCTTATTATTCCATCAGTGACCAAAAGGTGGTATCTACTACTTAAAACACCAAACCAAACAACAGCAAAAAAATCACTTGGGTAACTTGTTCAATTTGGCTTGAATTTGGGAAGTGTTGTTCATGGCTTTTGCACAAATGAATTGGCTCACTGGTGAAGAGCTGGAGCATCTCTCTACCATGGCTGCCTGTTTTTAGCTATTTTTGTGCAGGTCCAACCTTCTTCTGTGTGCTTCAAAGCAAAAGTCTTTTTCCATAATGGATTCTAAATACTGTCTCAACATTTCCATTGCCACACAAACCATGTGTGGAAAGATGAGTAATATTTATTGCCAATTTGTTGGCATCTGTTTTGCTGATTGCTTTGCTTTAGTCAAGGCACATTGGGTACTTTAAGGAATAATTGCTAGAGCTCATCACAGACAAGTATGAGCCTGTTGAGTGTCATGAATCAGTGGAGGTTATTGGCATTATCCACAAAGCAAAAACTATTTTAGGGATGAAAATGCTGAAAAAAAATATTAAGGGGTGTGATAAAGCAAACCACTTCTTATGTTTTGTGTGGAAATTTTGAATTGACAGTAAGAACTACAGTAAGAAGAACACAGGGTCTTGATTCAAAGTGACTCCTAAAAGACAGAATTTGTTCACCATAGAGCTTGACCCTTAAAAATAAAGCATTAATAAAAAATCTTGGTAACAGTCTCACTGCATAAACACTTTCATGGCATACCTGCTATAGTCTGACATTTTGATTTGACAGTTGATTACAATTATTTCAACATTCAAAATTATATGCTATAACAAGAAGTGCTTTATTCCAATACTGAGACTACTAATTAAATGTCCTTATCTATATATCTGACCTTCATGAAACTAAATCTAATTTAAAGCTAATCTCCTGATACACTTAACAGAACAATGCCACCTCCCAAAAATGTAATAATTAGATGGAGGGGACTTCAACCACACATAATGTAACATGCTAATTCTCTAACTCCCCAAACTAGCTTATTGACTATAATGTAATACATAATAAAAGCTTCAGTTTATTAATAGGTGATCCTTTTATAAACATAAATGGATTTTTTTTCATCCTTCAATAGCAAGAATACTATTTAAAATTAGAACCAGCAGAAAAAAAACCCCTAATGCATGCACAAATCTGCAGGCAGAGTAACTGGCACCATGTTGTCCCACATCTTCTGACATCTGTAGCCATATTTGAGACCCCCCCTTAAATAAACTGAAATATTTTTACTTCTTACTGTATTTACATATACTATTAAGCTCACTCCATTAGATGTTTTGAGACTCTGAGGAAATAAAAATAAAGATTGAAAAGGTCATAAATCCACTTTCAGGGTCCTCACAGGATGCTTCTTGAAGTTTAACTTCACAGCTGTTACAGCTCAGACACAACTGCTCAGAAGGTGTGAAATGGTGCCATTTTTTTTCCAGATGGATTGGAAACCATGCAACACTGAAGACCAGACTATGTTTGATGAGAATCAGCAGGGGAGTGTAAGGGAAGCATTCAGCTTTACTGCTGAGAGAAACAGCTCCAGTTCCTAAAACAAAGAGAGAAAAGAGTGGTTACATAAATTCATAAGAAACCTATAAGAAACTTCTGTATTTGACTAAACACTAAAAGAGTAGAGGTATACTTACTGCCTGCTGTAAAATTCACCTAAACCTGTAGATTAAACCTGTATGAAAACGCACAGTAAAAAGCTTAGACTTGTGTGTACATATATAAAATATGCTATATTCTGATTTTATGTTATTATTTCAAAGTATAACAATAAAACATTGACCTATGTGAGACTGTAATACATCCTCAGTCAGTACAAAGACCATCCTTGCCTCAAAATATTTCAAAAAGACAGCAAAGATGAAGAGCAGATGGAGGAAAATGCTATAGACTCTGATGAAATAATTGTTTTGGAGTTTTACAGTGAGCCAGTGTTCATTCTGAAAATACATCTCAAGTAAGTCTAGTCTTGGTCCTGTCCTGTAAACACTACTGAAATTTCTCTGCCAAAAATGCACACATAATGACGCACTGTAGAGCCTGAATGGGGAGAAATTGTACAAAATGAATCAGTAGGGTCTATCATAGGAAAAAAAATGAAGAAGAACTTAGCATTCCTGAAGACCTTGATTATTAAAATGTATACACAAATCTCAGTAGTAATAGAGGACAGCAGAGAACTATCAAAACATACACCATTTTGAGATGATGGAAAAGCTGTTCCATACACATAGGAATCAATAATAAAATTTACAGTTCATATACCGTAACAAGTATAGTGAAATAAAAGCTAATTTATGTAGTCATATTTTGAAATCCTGTGGTTCTTTTGAGCTAAGAAAATTCTTAAATAATATTAATTGCGTACCACTGAAGTTGATGCATGGTTTGGTGGGAAAACACCCACAAATTTCTGATTTTTAAAAGCTTGTTAATATGGAAATGCATTCTCTTAAAACTGCTGGGAAGTAGCAGTGTTGAGATCTGAAGTCATATCCATGTCACTGTCCCCTCCTACACACAGCTACAGAATACGACTGTCACCAAATGATATTGGGCACACACAAAAATAAAACTGTCAGTGCTGCTATCTGACACATGGGCAGGTAGTGCCCAGCATTGTTACAGATAAAACTTTACACTGTAAATAATACATTGAGAGAAACATGCGCCACCTGGATAAGGCTGATGTTGTCAGTGACACAGCAGATGTTCAGGGTGACAAGTTCCATTGAAGTCAATGGCAAAACTATTCTTGATTTAACAGTCAGTTCCCTTCCCTTTCCTCCTCTTGACAATGTCACCTAAACAATTAAGGCTGGATTTACAAAGAAACAACTGCTCTTGCATGCTTTCAGAATATGTGTGGTTTTTACTAAATACTAACTACTTTCTACGTCATATTTAGGAATAACACAAAAGTGTTAATGCAAACCAAGTGGAAGAGGATCAAAGGAATGCAGTTTTACTTCTGCAGATGGCCCAAAATTTTCATAATTACAGATAGCATAATTTTCTTAATTAAGTTTGGTGCATTATTAATATTAGCGGCAACTGCTTGTGTTCCTGCCTCTGAGTTCATGCAGAGGAGACTGTTTCTTTCAGCCACAACCTGCATAAGCCTGGAGTAACAACACCACTTGCCATCAGAACACAGGCCATAATTTGGGATCCTTTCACAGATTAGTTACTTGAGGCTCTGGATTACTTCCAAAAGTAGAAAATTCCATTTTAAAAATATGGAGCACAGCTAATATTCAAAAAGATACAATGATGAAGCAGCAGCAGCAGTTCCATTGTTACATAGTTGAGACAATTGTTTATCGCCTCTTTGCACTTTGACCTCAGACCTGTATTTTCTCTGAGCTTTTATAGATAAAGTTGCACTTTATAGACTAATTTATGTTTTATCTGATGACATGGGAATATAAATGGCATTATAAGGCATTTGAGATTCTCTTGTGTTTCTAGTACTACTGCAATGACTCTACAGAAAGGCTCTGTAAATATTTTTAG